ACACCACCACCACCACCACCACCACCACCACCACCAGCCATTGATTCTCGCTCTCAGAGGGTGATCGGGAATCTTCCGAACCTTTACTCGGTATGCCAAGTGGACTCTTGTGACGCTGAATCATTGTCTCGTCCGATCTAGCAGAATGAGTCAGTCTCGGGCACACATCCCGAGTGCTGGGGTTCGTATTCGGCCACTGGGGATCCCTCCTCCTTCCCCTCGTTGTGCTAGTAAAGAAACATTCTTCTGCATATTTATGCGAACGGCTAGAGCCATACAGTCTTTGAATCCTTCACTGCGACAGATTGAGGCTAGCTAGCTTAGTATGTACTGTGTGCTGTATGCTATGTATGTCTGTATCAATCCCCACCACGGTATATCCATCCCTCTCTACCCACAAGTATAAGCCTGTCTGAACTAACAGGGGATGATCAGTGACTATAATACTCCTTCTCCATTTCTCAGATATCAAACCCGGCTAGAATCTGGGGAAACCTTTGATCTGCGCGCATTGTATACTCACGACATGATGACCAACACCGAATACTCTGTTCCAACACAGGCCGAGAAGGTCTTTCGCACCGGCATCCTCCAGAACCCCCTGATCACGCCGTATCTGCCAGAGGGATGGGAGGCGTTTGCCAGCACCGTCAGCTTCGAAGGCAGCCCCAGCCCCAGTATCCCCATCAACTGGCGCTTCGCCGAGAGCGTTTCGGCCCTCAAGGCCTACGAGGCCGTGCTGGTCAATGCCATTTTGAAGAAGAAATATAACCACGACCCCGTCGAGGTCAGGATCAATACGTACGTAAAGTGAAAAGCTTTTGGCTGCCCACCACTGCTTCCCCGATTGATTTTTTCAAGAGGGGTACCTTCTATTGCTCGTTCACCAACTCACCTCTCCTCGCGTCATGGTCAGAGACCACGCCCAGTTGTTCTTCATGTCCACTTTACTCTGGCGCCTCGATCCCCAGGGAGACGATCTCAACGCCTTGTCCATCCTCCGGCCCGAGTTGCGGCAGAAGATGGACGCTTACTTCCCCGACTGGGACAAACACGGCTCGATAGCTTCGCTGCATCGGATGGCAGCGACCAACATCTACAGGACCAAGGATGATCGGTTTTTTCATATTCATGGTAAACCTCGTTGCTTTTTGGATCGAAGGAGAAGCTAAGAAAAGTGAAACCACAGGATCCATGGATCCACGCCCGACAATCGAGTCACTCGGCCTCCCGCAGGAGAGCCCCGCCTCGTCGTTGCAAGAAGCTTGCAAGCCATACGTGGAGGCGGTGTCGAGATTCACGGCTGAGGAGCTGCAGGATCTCGAGACCAACCGGTTCCGCCAGGCAGGCACCATTTGCTACTCTATCGACGAGTATAATGCCAGCGAGCACGGCAAGGCCAACGCCCACGTCGGCCTGTTTGAGATTCACCACCGACCCAACCCTGCCCAACACACGACGTGGTGGCCCGACGCTCCTGCCAACCCCAGCTCACCGAAGAGGCCTCTCGCTGGGCTGAAAGTGGTCGACCTGACGCGGGTCATCGCTTCCCCAGCCGTGTCACGCGGTCTCGCCGAGCTCGGCGCCTCGGTCATGCGCATCGTGTCCCCAAACATCACCGACACGTCGGGCCTGCACCTGGACCTGAACCACGGGAAATGGAATGCCTGTCTCGACCTCAAGGTGGAGGCGGATCGAGAGAAGCTCCGCGAGCTGATCCGTGGCGCCGACGTCTTTCTGCAGGGCTACCGTCCTCACGTGCTCGATAAGTACGGCTTCGGAGAGCAGGATGTTCTGGACTTGGTCAAGGATCGGGATCGTGGTATCGTCTATGCGCGCGAGAACTGTTACGGCTGGAACGGGCCCTGGAAGGATCGTAGTGGCTGGCAACAGATTAGCGACGCGGTAAGTAAATGTCTCTCTTTTCCTCCTTTCCCCCCTTACCAATCGCCCGATCCTGCTCGAAGACTATTCAAACATGGGCCCCCATGAGTGACGACAAAGAATCGAATTAATCTGCGCTGATTCGTTTTCTGAGAGTGAACAGAACTGCGGAGTGTCGCTTGAATTTGGCAGGGCCATGGGCAACGAGGAACCTGTTACTCCTGTCTTTCCGAATTCAGATTACTGGTGAGTCAATTGTTACAGGGGGCCAGGTGTCGTACCCTTGTCTCGGTGGAACTGACACTGATGATTGTCAAAAGTACCGGCATAGCAGGGACGATAGGCATCCTCACCGCGCTCGTGCAGCGTGCTGAGAAAGGGGGATCGTACACAGTCGACGTACGTAGTTTCTTTATCGCCCCCTTCCATTCTTCTCTCTTTTTCTGGGGGTACAATGCTAACACTTCGCCCTGGCTCCTCCAGATCGCCCTGAACTACTACTCCCGCTGGCTCACCTCCAGCGTAGGGACCTACCCATCCACAGTCTGGGACCGCCTCTGGACCCGCCACGGCCGCCCCGTGTTCCGACACACCGACTCGATGATGGTCCTTCTCCCGGCGTTCATGAAGATGCTGAGGGCCGACCCCGACAGTGCCGCCACGCTCTTCCAGCCCGGCTTCTTCACAGAGTACGCCATCAAACATCTGGGTGGTGTCACGGTCCGGATCGTCGCGCCTGTACTACAGTTCCCCGGTGGGGAGGTCGAGCCGGGGTATAATGTGTCAACCAGGACGAATGGCGTCGATCAGCCGCGTTGGCCGGATGATCTGAGCGTGGAAGTCGTTGCCTGAGGGAGAAATTCGTGGCATTAATCTACCCCAGAAAAAGGGGAGAAAGAGATTTCGGCAAAGTCAAGCAAGGCAAAAACGAAACAAGATAGAGAAACGCCAGAATTGATTCAATTGACAATACCTGGTTTTGCTTGGTCGGTGAGTTCTTACATCCTCCTATCAGGAGAGTACCTGGATGATACCAGAGTGTATGGACTTTGGACGTGATTCTTGTATTCAAGTGGCAGTTCACGAGTACATGTTACAAGAACAGATCCCAGTGTGTTGATTTCCCGTCTTTGCCATATATCTACGAGGTAATATACCCCGAACTGTGCTTTATTCCGTTACCATTTTCCATTTTCGCTCAAGAAATGGAGCTAGGCCGCTTTAAGGGCAAAGGTGAGGCAGCGTTGCGCCATCTGGAGAAGCCACTTTGGCGTACCAGCCCCGTTTGAACCTTAGCGGACCACCAACTAATTAACCTGATGAGAAAATCTGCCAAGCCCTCACTGGTGTCACGTGTTACCCCACATCAAACCCCAGTTCTGGCCAGTCTGCCAGTGCAGCCAGTGCCAGTCCAACTTCCAAGCTTCGACTCGATTCACCACAATCCACAAAGGGACTCTTGAGCTCCTCAATCCTCCCCGTAGACGCTGGAATGTTGCTTCATTGTCTATAGCGAAACGGCCATGGATAGCGGAGATCTAGACGGAGACGGTCGCCTGGCGAAAAAGCCGCGACTATTCATCGCTCGACAGGTACGAAACGCGTCCCTTATTGCGAGCGGTTGCTGACGACCTAGGCATGTGAGCACTGCCGCCAGAAGAAGATGCGTTGTGATGAGGGACAGCCGTGTGGTCCCTGTAGAACCGTTGGTCTCGAATGTAGCTACGGCGAGCGGAAAGCAACAAAGTAGGTGACTTCTTCCAGCTCGTGGCTCAACTGACTGGTATAGGAACGAAGTCTCTTTGAGCATGATACTGCACAAACTCGAACGGATGGATGCTAAGATAGACTCTCTATCCGTCCCACCAGCGCCAGCGCCAACGCCTACTACACAGCCCAGTCTGCCCGCCGAGTCTCCGGCAAGTTCCATCCTGTCCAAAACTACACCGATCTTATTCAGTGCCCGGTGCATGTTGTCGTGGCCCGCCATCCGTGATCTTCTCCCCCCTTCACTGAGAGCAGTTCCGGATGACTACGCTCTGAAGCTAGAAGATCAGCGTCCCAAGCTACCGAGACCTGCTCGGAATCAGGACATTGTTATTCTGGCCGACTTCAGCATTTCGACTGTTCGAGAGTTAAGCAATGCCTACTTTACAACTTTCAATCTTGCCCATCCGGTGCTTGATCGCAAGCAGTACTTTCAGCAAACCCTGGGAAATGCAATCAATGGCGGCTTCGGCTACGATGCCGACAGCTGCATTGTTCTCATGACCATGGCACTCGGGACATTTGGGACACGCGCCATAAATGAGTGCGAGCAGCAACGTCATGAAACTCGAGCACGCCCTTCTCCCGTCCAAGCCACAACCGAACCATTGGGACTGGCCTTTTACAACGAAGCACGGAAGCGTAACGGGTTCCTTGAAGGAGACCATACGATCCAGACCTGTCAGTTCTATCTGCTGACCATGCTGTACCATGCTCAGCTTATACGACCGGTCGATTGTTGGTCAATGTCGATGAGGGCCGCGGTGATTTGTTTGAAGCTGTGGTACAGACCTCCCGAGGCAGACGAATGGACTCTGGACATGTATTCCCGGCTTTACTGGATCACAGTCATGTTCCAAACCGTGCTGACGCAGGAGCTGACCGGGTTGGCAATGTCGCAGATTAGAGATTTGGAGGACTCGGTGCCACTGCCAAAGTTTGTATCGTTCCCCTCAGGTTACCCTCCCGGTCAAGAGGAAGAGGATGAATCCTTCTGCCACTACCATTTCCTCGCTCAGATTGCACACCGCATCTTTCTCAGCCGAGTCTATAGCAGCTTGTACTACTTTAGTGAGTCAAGAACACGTCTCCTTGCGATCTTTCTGACCAAAAAACCCAGTCCCATCCGCCCACTACCCCAACGCGGCAGTGGCTCAAGAGTTGTATCACCAGCTAGACCAATGGCGATCACAGCTTCCAGCACAACTTCGCTTTGACGACGAGACTCCCATCACGGGACCAGATCCGCTGAGTGAAGTTTTGGTGGTGTCATTACTCCGATCTCGATACTTTGTGGCACATTACCATCTTGGAAGACCGTTTTTGTAAGGCTAATGCGCACTTGGCCTGAACTCCTTTGCTAATAGCCCGCAGATACAAGGCTCTCCACCATCCGACAGCATTAACGGAATATGACCAGCAAAGATGCAAACAGGCATTACGGGCGATCCTGAAATATTCCGAGGTCACCGAGAGTCTTCTCGGCGTCAAAGGTTGTATGCCGCTGGCATTTTCCTGGTGTGGCCAGTAAGGATATTCCCCCAACAGATTTCTGCCAGCGACTGACTTTAGGCCAGAGCATTGGGGCAGCTTCTGCTGATGTACGCGTTCCGTCACACCCCAGCCTTGCAGGGTTTTCTGCCTGAAGGCTGGGAACGGTGGTCAGAACGTATCCTCCAAGCACTGCAGGACTTGTCCAGCTTGAGCCCAGCGGTGGCGAAGGATGCAGAGATCGCGAGCATATTGTACTCGACAGCTCCGAGTTGAGAGACATGGTACAGAGCCGCGTCAGTATTCAGTCCAGAGTCAGACCTCCGGGTGCCGGAATTGCCAGGTTATTTCTGCTATGAGGTCCTGAGGGAAGCATATATGGCCAGGAATGTATAAAATTCTTATACAGAAGCCTGTTCCAGAGCGTGCGGAGCAAGGATGGCATGATGTATACGAGCTCCATGTCCAAGGTATGTTTCACACGTTCTCAAAGCCCGAGTTCTGACCGTGATTTACATTATTGTTACCCTAGGGACAAAAGACCATTTCAACGCGCTCGGAAGAACAAAGTTGAAAAGTTCGTCAGAGAAGCCGAACAAGGTGTGGCCTGCCAACAAACTATTTCACATTGGCCCCGCCATAAGCAGCACCTTTGACAGGCTGCACGGTCGTTTGCCCCTTGGCCTTGGATAAAGATTTAGTCATGATGGTCAGCAGGGCCGTTGCATCGGTGGCCGCCGAAATCATATGGAATCCTTTGTCCGCATACTGCCGAGCAGACTCGCCCGAAGGACAGTAGATGCCTGCCTTCTTGCCGGCGTCATTTGCCGCCTTTAAGATTCGAGCAACGGCTGCTGTCATCTCTGGTGGGAAGCCACCTTGGAGGGAATACCCCAGATTGTTACTGAGGTCGAAAAGGCCGATGAACAATACTACAGCAAACAAAGTCAGCGAACAAAGCCTTTGGGGGCGTTCTGACCTTCCAGAACAAACTCACCATCTACGCCGTCAACCCGTGCGATTTCCTCGACGCACTCGAACGCCTCCTTGGTCTCGATCTGCGCGATGGTCAAGAGATTGTCATTGGCGGTATTCATGTATTCAAAGGCACTCAGGTTGCCCTGGTTGTCGAAGGCGCCCATGGAGAAGGGACTGCCGAATCCTCGCTTGCCTCGTGGAGGGAACTTGGCAGACTCGACCAGTCTCTTTGCGTCTTGGACAGTGTACAGCAGCGGCACGATGATCCCGTGGGCGCCCGAGTCGAGTGCTCTCTTGACCATCCAGCCTTCGTTGGCAGGAATGCGGACAATGGGAGAGACTCCGACCGATGCGACGGCGTGCACGCTGTCGTGCATTTCATTGTCTGGCACGCGGGAGAATCAGCGATATTCTGGGATATATATGAGTGGTATGGGGATTTGCGCCGTGCACCTGTGATGTTTCCGTGTTCGCAGTCGATACAGATCCAGTCGAATCCGCATCTCGCCATTGCTCTGGACAAATGCGAACCGGGTAGCATCTGCCACGCGCCAAAGGAGGGGCCACTTCGCGTGAAAAGCGCTTTGCGCAAGGTGTTGGAGTTTTCCATAATGCTCGCCACGGTGGTCTGCCTATGCCTACTCTTTCTTCGTCGGATTTGTGGTTATGGCGAGATTCTTCTGCCTAGACCAAGTCGTTGGACGATGAGGCTTTGCTGGGTGATAAACGGGAAGCGGGCTTCTTGCCTCAAGAACTAGGAAAACCAGATGAGTTTTGATATTGTTTGGGCTGTCCAAGTTCCGCTGTGTGACGATTGATGATACGGGGAATCGTGGACAAACATTACAGTACAATACAATCCAGACGCGGAGGCGCCGTCATCCAAGACTTCCAACTAGAACAACCACATCCACATCCACATCCACGCTCACTAATGTGGCCAACCAGAGCCATAAACCTTCCCTTTTCTCTTCGGTCGACCCTAGCCCGTCACTTGTGCCGGTCCTCCAAAGGCCGTGGAGACTTCAAAGTGCTCCGGAGAGACGAGTCATTCCCGGCAGAGACAGTGGAGCCAGGACCTCCTTTCTCCAGACTCCGCGGACGTCCTTTCATTTTGTCATGGAACACCCAACGAGTCATGTGTGATGTTTGCTGCGGATCTGTGGATCTTTCAGTTATTTCCGGCAGGTCAGCTAGACTCCCCGGTGCGTGCGTGATCTTGTACTTGGGTACGTTTTGTAGGGTGTGTAACAGCAAAATCCCGCCAGCGACCCCCTAAATAAGTCTTGGTCCGCGAGGAAGCTCTCGTTGCCGACTGAGAGGTGGTGGCAAGTTAGGGGATACGCAGAGTCTCTCATAAGTTCGTACACGTGAAGTTCGAGAAGATGCCTACAATGGACGAGATTGTTTGAACATGATGTTATTACATGTGCTGTATTGGACCTAGGTTAACCCTTTTCGGTAGAGGGTATCCTCCAATTGCCTCGAAGAACTTTGCGCCACTTGACAACACCCCGGCCAGATCTTCGCCTATCCAGTCATTTGCGAAAGCCGCTCGAGTCTGTTCCATTTCGCGCCTGTATTTCCCTGCGACCTAGTGAGGACACGAATATTAGCATTGGCCGGAACGGAAACTGTCTCATTCACATCAAAAGACAAGAAACCCCTCCCCCCCCGAGAACTTACCAGCACGCACGCGCCCTTCAGCCTCGCGTCAACAGCCGTCTGAGCAACCACGCCGGCGACATCTTCCACCGTGTTCGACTCCAGACCCGTCTCCTTCCACCTCTGCGAGTACTCGGCCGTGATGGCCGTCGGGGTAAACGCCGGGGCCACCCCGTTGACACGGATGTTGCCTCGCTTGCTGGCCTCGACTTGAGCCGCGCGCAGGAGGCCGACCACGCCATGCTTGGACGCGATGTATGCCGACACGCCGGTGCTGCCAAAGTAGCCCGACGTCGAGGCTATCAGGACGATCGAGCCCGGGGTGGCCGGGGTGGCGGTTTTGTTCATGTAGTGCATTGCCAGTTTCAGAGCTGTGTTTTGTCGTAGTTTTCGGGTCAATACATGATGGCTGTTTGATTGCACATTGACTCGCGAAGACGACTTACTGTTCAGAGTGCCCTTCAAGTTGACGTCAATGACCTTGTATGCTTCCCTGGGCTCCTTGGGCGAGCCGTCCGCCTCGGTGTCGTCCAGATCGAGGACCATGGCGGACTCCATGGTGCCGGCGTTGGCGACAACGACGTCGACCCTGCCGAACCTCTCGACCGTCTTCTCAAACACGCCTCTCATCTGCCGCCAGTCGAGAATGTCGGCCGGCACGAAGAGTGCCTTGTCCGGGTGCGCCAAGTCGGCCACGACAGCTTTCGCGGCGTACCGGGTGTGCTCGAGGTCTGCCATGACCACATTCGCACCGTTGCTGTTGCAGAGCTTGACGGTCGCTGTTCCAATCCCCGCCGCGCCTCCTGTGACAATGACCGTCTTCCCTCCTAAACTGGCCAGGAGGCCCGGGTCATGGTCTATTTGTCGATATCTGGAGGGCATCGTTGGAGCCACGAAAAGAGCCTGTTGTTGTAAAACCACAATGCTGTTGGGTGGAGAGCAGTCGTGGTAGTCTAATATACTTGCTTTTCTCTAAGCGACAGAAAGAATCGCACCGGGGAAAGAGAGAGTATCTCACACAAGTTCATAGGCGTCTGTGCGACTGCTGAGCCGGACTTACCGTGGCATAACTACGTGTTGCAAGCTTCACGGAGATGGCAAAGACATGATGGCGCTCACTGGACTTGGTCGAGTTTGTTGGAGTAGAGCCAAAAGGACTTTCTTTCTCCACGTTCGTCGTCGGCGGTCTACTAGATTCCCCGAGGGAAAAAGGGACAACGGTTTACATCTGGTGAGGATATGAGTGTTGGATTGCCGAGGTATAGTCATAGACTTTACAGTGACTGGCCCTGCTGGCCCATTGGAGATAGAGCCGATCGCTAGCCTGCTTAAGTAGTCACGCTAGAGCTAAAAGGTTCATTCTCCATACCTCTCTTCCGGCGGTGTGCTAGATCCCCCGCCAAGCAGCGCTAGACAGTATACAAGAAATCCAAATGTGGGAACTATGGGTCTTGATCGCCTCAATCACGACTCACGATGTTTCTCCGTCCGCCACAAGGTCGCTGAAAAGGCAGCAAAAATACCCCTCAACCCCTGGAGACTTCTTTTCAAGTCAACGGCGATGTAAAAATTGAGCTTGTTACGGCAACCCTGGCCTGGCATGCCGTTGATAATGTGGAGTGAAGTGACCAGACGTGTCGACTCTGGCATCTGTGGGCAATCTTGTCCATCGTCCCCCTCCCCCCCAGGTCTGGGCAAGGCTGGCGATCTCCCCGCCCGGCCTCCACAAACGAGGTACACTTTCTCCAAGCGAAGGAAGGGTTTTTAGACACGATATATCATGGGTTCTGTTTCCCTCTTTTGCTCGTGGCTCTCACATCTTCTACGACCTAAGCAGGTGACCTTGTTCCCCACGCTCACACTATTTCTGCTGTCTCTACCCTGGCTGCTGCTACTTTTTTGTTTTTGTTTTTGGAGCCCTACACACCCCCATCAGCATGGCAGACATCAAGGAGGTCTCGGCGCACGAAGTGGAAGCTCCCAAGACGGCAGACGTGTCGGTACCCGACCAACTCGGCGACTTTGATCCCGAGTATGCGGCAAAAGTGCGCCATCGCATCGACTGGCGTCTGCTCTCGGCCCTGGGCCCCATGTACGCCATCTGCCTGCTCGACCGGTCCAACCTCGCGTCGGCCGCCATCGCAGGCATGACCGAGGACCTCGACATGGTCAAGGGCAACGGCTACAACCTCACCAACATGTGTTTCTTCATCACGTACATCCTCTTCCAGCCGCTGATGGTCGTCGTGTGCCGCAGGATGGGCCCGCGATGGTTTTTGCCCTTGATCTGCTTTCTTTGGGGTTGCTTGCTGATCGGCATCGGCTTCGTGCACGATTGGCAGACCATGTTGGGATTGAGGCTGATCTTTGGCGTGCTGGAGAGCGGCTACTTTCCCGGTTGCTTGTACCTCCTCAGCACCTGGTATACTCGATGTAAGCCCCCCCATACAAAAGCGTGGCCAGTGCTGACACCAAATGTTACAGTCGAGAGTGCCAGGAGATACTCCATCTTCTATCTTATCGGGAGCTGCGCTTCAGGATGCTCTGGGATCCTCGCATACGGCCTGATGCAAGCGGACGGCGCAGGTGGGCTTCAGGGCTGGCGGTGGTAAGGATCCACCATGCAATTGCTACATTTCCCATAGCAAGGATGAGAAAAAGTGACGGAGGCTGACATCTCGGTCTCTTTCTAGGATCTTCATCCTCGAAGGACTCATCACCGTCACCCTCGCCATGATCGCCGTGGTGATGATGGTCAAGTTCCCCGACGAAGAAATGACCAAACCATCCCCAAAGTTCCTGACCAAGGAGGAACTGAATTTCGTCACGGCGCGCCTCAACGCCGACCGTGCCGACGTCTCCCTCGAACCCTTCACGATCAAGCGCTTCCTCGAGCCCGCCACGGAGTGGTACATCTACGGCTTCCCCCTCCTGCTGATGCTGGTCACGACCCTGGCGTACGCGTTCGCCTTCACCCTGCCGACGGTGCTTCGGTCGACGCTCGGCTTCGGCCTCGCCGAGTCGCAGTGCCTGACCGCGCCGCCGTACTTCTTCGCCGCCGTCTTCATGTACATCGCCGGGTGGTACAGCGACAAGTACCACACACGCGGACCCGTCCTGGTCACCCTCGCCCTGGTCAGTCTCGCCGGTTTGCCCATCATGGGCTGGGCCAAGAACCCCTGGGTCCGGTATTTCGGCGTCTTTGTCACCGTCGCAGGCGCCAACAGCGCCATCCCGAGTATCATGGCATACCAGGTAAAATCATCCCCCCCCCCCCCCCCCACATCATTACCCACATACCTAGGACCTAGGACCTCCCTAGTATCAACATCGACTCATACTCTTTTGGCCCTAGGGAACGAATATCCGCGGCCAATGGCGCCGGGCCTTTTGCTCCGCGGCACTGACCGCCATTGGCGGCATCGGCGGCATCATCGGTTCTCTGATCTTCAGGTCTCAAGACGCGCCAAACTACTACCCCGGCTTCATCGCCTGTATTGTGTAAGTCGTCCAATCCCCGTCCTGTCCGTACTGTTCATCCCCAATACCCCTTCTAGAGACTTTGGGATATTTCATGGCTAATACCCCATGTGTGTGTGTGGGTGGGTGTGTGTGGACAATAGGGCTTGCATACTAGTCATCGTCATCGTCGCGATCATGTCCGTCTACTTCCGCCGGTGCAACAAGGCCGCAGATCGGGGCGAGAGGATTCTGCTCGGCGACCCGAACTTTAGATTCACCTTGTGATGGAAATGGGCCTCCAATCATATTTTCTCGGAGGGGAAAACATGTCGGGGTTCCCCAGTAAATGATGGATGGATGGATTGGGTCATGCTTTTGCTTTCGAGGCATGACAGCCCAAAAAAATATGAATGTGTCATACTACATACTACTTAGACACAGAGATGCGATCTAATCATACATAGATACCAAGCACTTGCCCAAGTTCAAGACCCTTTGGTAGCCCAAGAACGAATCGATGGTCCGCTCGGCTCGGCTCAAATATCGCCAACGCAATATCATATATCCTGTCCTAGGTCTCCTGGTGCATGACGGCTTTCTACCAATACTTCGCGCGCGATGCCGTGACCTTCCACTTGTCCGTCGTGTCAAACTCCAGCCGCCCCTCGCGGAACCGCCAGGGGTCGATGAAGAAGCTGATGCCGATCTGGTTGGAGAGGAGGTTATAAACGCGCACGATGCAATATACTTGGCGGCGAGGAGCGTTGTGTTTTGTGTCGCCGAGGTTGCGCATCTATCCCCCCCCCAGCATGAACGCAGATATCGAGTTAGCCGTCAACTCTCTGGTAGACGTTGGAAGGGGAAGGGACTTGCGAGAAGGTAAAGAATCTGGGTTTGATGGCATGGCAAACTCACCAAGTCGTGTTGATGCGGACTCATGTAGAATTCCGTCTCGCATGGTCCGAGCGACGTCTTGACTTCGAAAAGCCACTCGAGTGGCTGCTTGGACGTGTCAGCCCTCGGGGATCCTCACGATTGACATGCATGAATCCTCGAAAAAGGGACCCGACCACACACTTACCGGGTTCTCGTCGTCCGCTGCAAGCCAATCAGGAGCCCAGTCAGGAAACACATCTCCAAGCGGTCTTGTACGGAACAACGTGCGGAGCGAGTTATTCTGGTCCGAATACATCATGTCCGCCGTCTCTCGTTGCGTCCATCTCGTGACGTGCTCGTATTGCTTATGTGCCCGGACTAGGTGTCGAATCTTGCTCTGCCAGTTGTCGAGTCCAAGTGTTCCTGGTAACAGAGCTCCAAGGATCTCATAGACCTGCAAATTGCACGGGTTAAGATGCGTTAGAATCCGACACGATAGAACTCTCCTGGATCGAGGCTGTACAACTTACAAATAGCTCCCCGGCGGCGCCCACTCTGAACTTGCTGAGCGAAAAGTCACCTCCAAACAGCTCCGGGTACTTGGCAGGGTCAATCGTGTTGACTTCGAGGCTCAACGTTGCGAGAGTCTTGGTGATTCTCGAAAACGTGGGATCTGTATCATTACCATCCACGTGCCTGAAAGAAGAGGCCTGCCTAGGGACGTGCTCGAGTACTAGCCAATACAGATGTGCCTCTGTGGCATGGGTAGGCTTGGCTGCTGGAAGGGCTCTGAATAGTGGTGAAGGCCGGTCTGGATAACTATTGGCCGCGATTGAACCCATGGCTCGTGTGGGACTTTCAACTTCCTCTAACTTCACCAGAGATATCTGGACGCCTTCAGGCTGTCCATGGAAGATATGCGCCGATTGTGGTTGAAATGTACCCTCTAGTTCTTCAGCTGGTGGCGTAGGGTTGGGACGGCAAGTCTCGGGAAGCCACGACACACGCGAAATATCTTCTTGGAGCAGAATGTCGTCTGTGCCGGACTCGAGCTCATTGAGGATCCGATAGAGCTGCTTCTCGCCCCGGGAGTCGTAGATGTTCAACATCTCCGCGAGTCTCCCAGGCAGCTGACCTCGCATGCACTGCATTCTCTGTACTTTGTCCTTAGGGAGAGTGATGGATAGTCCAGCGTCGTTCTGCTCAATGACAAGCGAAAGCCTGTCAGCCACCACCTCAACAGGAACACTGTCTTGTACAACCACAACCTTGGTCGACATATCTGCCGATGTTTGGACTGTGGCGGACACGAGATCATTGTACATCTGTGTGTTTTGGTTGGAGTATAGAGTGCTTCGGTGCGAGATGGCGCAACTGACACAGAATTAGAAATATTCCTGACACAAAACTCCTTCTCAAAAGTAAGGCTCACCATGATATAGCATATGCACACAGTCGAAACTGTTCTGTCAGTAAAATGTCCGATTCGATACCGTCAGCAGAGGTCTTGGGGCCTACGTGTCGGGTCAAGTAACGGTCGTCAAGGCGAAGAACTCTGAAGAGCTCGTGCAAAGATATCAGCTGCTCATATGTGAAGTCCAGCATGAAGATTTTGCCGCTGAATTTCTCCCCATAGTACTGGTTGTCCAGAATAAAGAAGGTTTCGGATGTAGTCCGAAATATAATATCACCTGTCTGGGGGGTTTTGCAGGGCAGAAATTGGCTTTGCAATAGGGAATCGACGGATTTTTCGACTTCCGACAATCGATTGTCGGCGCTGAGCGACTGGGAGGTCGACAACATGAGCTTCTTGATTTCATTGACATCTTTCTGTGGCCGGGTGGCGGCGGCGGCCAACTGTTTCATCATGAAGCCACTCGTGACGGTGCTGACACCAAGAGTGTCCACGAAGAATTCCTGCAACTCCGGGTACATGGTAGCGATGGGCACATGGTTTCCGATGTCTATCGTTGCGTGCCAGATGCACAAGCTCGACCTTAACCAGGAACCGTTGCTCCTGTTGTAGATGAGATCATTTTGTTTGAAGGCCGACCTCAATAGGGTGTTAGTCACTTCGTTTGGGATAATCAAAACTTGCTCACCGAATCCATTTCCTATGGGCGTCATCTTGAACCATACCTTTGAGCAAGGTATAGAGGGCTGAAGCACGATCGAGAATCTCCTCGTCCAATTCCGTCGGAGAATGCTTCTTCATGTACTCGAGTTCATCGACTAAGCAAGACACGGTGACGTTCCCAATTTCCAGCAACGTTTGAAACAATTCAGAAACAAAGGACGCTGTGTACGTTGGAATCAGAGCAAATTTGCATTTCAGCTCGATTGCACTTTCCCAGACGCATTCACCAAGAGTGCGCCATTTGCTGCCGATTGGATCCCATACCCAGGTTTTCTCGACAAAGTCATTCTGAGACACTGTCGGTAAGATGCGGGAATAAAGAACAAAGAGCAAAGGGATAATCTCGACTTACCTTGAGAGTTTGTCGCTCTGCAAGTGTGGTCCTGCCTCCCATATTCCGATACAAGTAGTTTAGCCCCTGAACACTACCGAGTGGTGTTTGGCCTGTCGCGCACAGGAGAGACAAGGCCTCTTTGTAAAAGGACAGGTTCGCGTCTGACCGGACGCCCAAGTCACTCAAGGATGACCATTGTGAGATTACGTAGTCTTCGGTGGACTCTGGGAGTTGGAGAATTGAGAAGACTGGGTCAATGCCATAATACCGGACAGACTCGACGATGAAACGGGTTGGAAACCAGGTTCGATAGAGCTCTTCATACTTTCCATTCTGACAGAGCACCTGACTCTTCATCAATGCGACCTTGATGTTGCCGTGGAATCTGCACACACTTGCATAGTCTTGCAGCCAATAGTGCTGGAGAAGAGGGACAAATATGGTCGGATTCTCGGTACGAATGGTTTCGATCATCCAGTGCAACTTGTCTCCGTCATTCAGTGGTGGAAACCACCTGATACCGGCCACTTGGGAAAGCCACTGTTCCCACGTGAGATTGTTTCGAGATCTCGTAGCAATTGGGGATGCCTGATAGGATTCGTCTAGAAAATGGTTGCCGTGTTGCGGGTTCTCTTGCAAGCGCAGAAGGCATTCTGCATGATATGGTTGTTGTGAACGCATGAACAATTCTCTGGTTGATTTGTATCCTCCAGTGCCGGCTAGGGCCACGAGTCGCGGAGGCTCGCTAAACGGTAAAAACATGTGCGAGAACCAGAACAGCAACTGCAGACAACTGAGTAAGTCCGAGGCGAACTTATCTCCAGCCTTGTATTGATAACTCAGAATAGCCCTGTTTAAATCAACAGGCGGGCAGTGGCCCACTCCGAGCGACTGGTACACCATGTGTCGGGCAGGATTCCTCGCAGCGTCCGGATGGAGGACAACCAAGTCAAGGCCGCCTGGCATCTCAATTTGGACTCGGTCGATACCGGCACCTTCATCCACAAGATTTGGGAAATAGCTCATTTGGTTTGGTGTGTACCACTCTAGGCCGCCTCGCACGCGAACAGGAACTATCCTCTTGTTCTTGATCTCGACCTGATACCTTGCACCATTCACTTCCATGGCCCGTCGGATGAAGTCCAGAAAGGAATCGTGCCATGCGTCCTGTAGTGGCACAGTTCGAAGTTTCGATGCATTGGGATATGCAATAGCATCATCTAAGAGGGCCAACTCATCCTCATATGTAGCATGTCCGACGCCCAGGAGATTCAACGTCGATGTTGGCGAGTCTTTGTACCCGGCTGAGAGAAAACGCCACCATCTTTGGCTTGTTGCTGGGAGCAACGGTTCGTTATCATGCACAATGTCAGAAGGGACCATTCGAACCTCGTACGCCCGGTACATGTCTCCCTCTCTGGAGTAGAAGAGTTTCAAAGGTGCCAGGTATGTCGTGATGAGCCCTTGCAATGGCTGCCAAAAGCCACCAAGTGGCTGGACTGGAACGTAAACCGGCCATTTGAATCCGAGTTGGCTACGTTCAGCGGCAACAACACCAATAGCGCCAGCAAACAGACGAGCAACCAAATCTCTCAACACCCTGTTCCAGGGATTATCACTGACGGCTTGACGACTGGCCGTCAAAATAAAATCGGCTTGTATCACGAAGGGCAGCTGCGGCATTTGGACAACGGGTAGATACGCCAGAACGTACTGCCCACCCGGGGTTAAGTGTGGAATGTCGCGATTCTCCCCAGTCACGGGGAGACCAATCTTGACTGTTGACGCTGACCACGGACGTTCAGCTTGTGTTGGCATGTTATGATTCGTCGTTGTAAAAGTCCGATATAAATGTTGCTCGGTCCTGTCCCCTACTTGAGAGCGAATTGTTGTCTGGAAAGCGTCCTCAGACGTCTTCTCGAAGTTGATCGAATAGTTTCTGCACTCTGTGTTCTGGAAACAGATCGAGATTCTCTTAATTCTCCGCAGCGCAAAGATCATGCTCGCGGGCAGTGCCTCGAGCCACGCACACAGCGAGGACAAGCTGCCCTGGTCAGACAAGGAGTATTCGAGTCGGAATCGCGTGCGCACGCTGGTGGGCAGTGTTTCCCTTGGTTCCCACTTTGGCGAGATCATACCAATCCCATCCTCGTGTCGCTGATGTTCGAAGCGAAACGACCATAGTCTGGAATTGATGTGCACTCGATGGGCAATGCCAAAGACGGCTTTGAACCCAAAGCCTTTCTCGCCCGTGGATTCTTCATTGAGCGCTTTGGAGCTCTGACCGGTGCTGCAGATGGACAGAATGTCCGACAACGAAAAGCCGTCTTCGTTGAGATCAACGATGAGCTCGGTTGGGTTCACTGTAAGGCGGATCGCTGGCACATCGGTTGTCCAGCGATACTGAGCGTCGTCGGCGTTCTGCAAGAGTTCGAAGAAAAATCTAAAGGGGTCGTCGTAAAGCTGGCACGAAATGCTTCAGGGAATTAGTTGCAAGACCAAGCCAGCACATCTCGATGGGATGTTATCTTACGCTTTGGTGAATTGGGCGAGAATCTTGCGTGAATTGCGGGCGATCATAGTCACCTTTCTGTGAAGGATCGAGGTAGTTCCCTGCAGCAGAGTCTCATCTTCGCTGTTGAGATTACCGTGTCGCGCTAGGATACAACTGAGAATGTTTTGGGCGTCTTGTTCGTTCTGAGGTTCTGCCAATGGCTTCTGGTACAGTTCTTCGTAGAAGGCGGAAAACTCGTTGTCCATGGTGGAGAATTGATATATGCCGCACCGTTGGATGGCGGCAAAAGAAAAAGAGAGCGGAACAGGGCGATTTTTGTGGCTTCGTGCTCAAGTGATTTGAAGTTGTAGCACATGCTCAAATACCATGAGCCGAGATAGCATCGGTTCTATTGAGTAAGCAAGGTAGACTCAGCTGAGGCACAACGGTGCATACGCCAGAACTCTGTAGCTTGTGGCATTGGCTGATCCAGCATAACCTTCACAGTAGGGGTGAATCAAACTAGGCCATTGCAGGGATACAAAAACTCGGCCGCATGATGGGTCGAGGTGACCGCTAGAGAGGTCTCAAGTCGACGCCTATTCCTTGCAAAGGGACCAGTCTCTTGATTTTTGGTTAGAATATACACACAGTGCTTCCTGAATCGGAGAAGCACTTGGGGTCGATCGACAAAGCAATTCCATGGGCGTCCTTTCGTTGACTTGATAGGTTGGATGTCGTATCATAAAATCGTTACTTGTGGCTTCGAGTAGGTTCCTCGCTTGCGCCCAGGAAGCGGCTGGTAACACAGTGGTCAGTGGTTCCAAGGATCAAAAGGCAAGGGAACAGGGTAGATTCTCTCTCATCGGACCCACGACTGTTGTGTTGCAGGTCAGGTCTCATGTTTCTGTTAGCGCGCGGCAGAAATATAACCAGGCTTGTACGGTACGCAATCTGAGCCCGGTTCAGGAGATGCTGCCCATGGCCACCGAAGTGGTTGCGTCAATGTGAAACGAGCAGGTGAAAACGTGGCCAGAAGCAGCGCTCAACAATTGCTCTTTTCAGGGGACCTGGTGCTTTTGCCGAAACATTTTCAACTACTCGGCGATATATGCGCTTGACGGCTTGACTCTTGAGCGGCAGAATCACGCATCACTATTGCCGTTGTCATCGCATACTCACCTTGGTGGGTGCACCATCCGTCCTAAGGGTTAAAGCCTTTGGCACCCATGATAGGAGAGACACGCGTAATTTCTCATCTAACCAGCCAGATGGGGGCGGGCACAGAGCGGTGACTTGACCTCACTGGGAGTCTGCATAGAGCAGTGTAAGCGTAACATCAGATAACCCAGGAGGATGGTATTCCGCGGCTCCCAAGACTACCTGGTGGTAGGTAGTTGATAGGAATGAATGTATGTGCAAAGCTAGGCATGTATGGCAGCGAGTGCCAAGACGCTAAGGGTCTGATAGCGACTCCGCCTTATCCCAATCCGGCAATTCATGTCGACGCGTTATTGACAGAGGCCATTCGTGGTGTTGGTGGTAATGAACGAGGTGTAGTTCGGGCTTTATATAACATATATGTACATTATGTTGCCGTCAAAACTACGCTTTATCCCCATGGCTCTGTTGGTACAAGAAGAACACCGTCGACAGACGAGTCTATCTCTGGGGAGGGTCGATGGTGCACCACCTCCAAACGCTCCGCACTCCGCGATTCGAACACTATGACGTGAGATACAATCAACCCAGCGAACGCTGCAACTCTTCTAGAGTCATTCTTAACTGCAACGGATCGCTTGGTTCGATATCCTCCTCATCGAAAGCCAAAGACCCATCTTTGTCTGAGTCATGAAGGAGTATCTCCAGGATAGACGCGGCTATAATCTGGTTGAACCTTGTACTGTCTTTCACCAAGTTCTCGTTCTGTAGTAGTTGGCGCAAGAATCCGTGGACTGGAAGATCGCGTGGCGGGTTGGCAATGAAAGGAAACAGCGCTTTCCATTGTGAGGGATTCGGCGCCTCCCATAGATTGTCGGGGCAAGGGATCCGCAAATTGATTCCATGGCTAGCGATCCTCGGTGGGCTGTTGGAGAGCAAGCAGCACTTGTAGTGCAGTACCTAAGGCCACGGTACAGGTTAGCAAGTACTGTTCCATGTTGAGCACATCTTTAGATCATCCGAGTTGAGTGACGCCGGCGATAGAACGTACAATAATGGCCCAGGTGACTCTTTTCCGCTGTTCGCATATGCTCCAATTGAGCCATCGATCTTCCAGAGCCATCGCATCCTGGCTTTCCAAGATTTGCCGCACATCCTCCACACCCACTGAATGTGTCCGGATGTCTTTGCCAGGCGATCTCTCGCCGACCTCGGGTGTCAAGAGCTCCATATGCTTTGCCCAACTCACCACACGACCTTGAGCGGAGAGTACATCTCCCAAAAATCCGTGGTTGCAAGATCGAACAATATGGTGATACGTCAGACTGAGGGCGGTTATCACATCCCAACTGTCCTCTTGCGGAAATCGGTCTTCTTGAGGTAACACTCTACCATGCGTCGACGTTGACCTGAAACTCATCCCTGAAGATAGATTGCAAACGCCACCAAATGCTGTCACAAAATACTGTTGTGCGCGTGTAGTAGAAACATAGCTCGCGCCAATCGCAGTGATGGTCGTCAAGAGTAATGGGGAGCAGGTTGTAGGAGATAACGTTGCTTTGTGGAGGATCGGTAGTGTCTTCAGGAGGTCAGTATCTCGCGGACAGCGCCTGTGGAGCCCATGCTTGGTTGACGTTCAAGCTTCCTTACCTGATTATATCGACTGAAATAGATCCCCCAGTATGTCTCTACTTCGTCAGATGATATAATCGACTCGTCCACGATTGAGGATGTAGTCATCGCCTTCAAGGTTTCGACGACAGATATTTGACTTGACTCCCAGTCAGGCGTCCAAATGCTCTGGTCCCATACTTGAGCACGGCCGTTGAGCCGTTCTTTGGTGGAGATTCTTGTTCTAACTTCAGTGGCTCCTGTCTGAGATCTACTTGTGAGAGAAGAATGTGATGACTGTGGAGATGCGGTCTTGTCGAATCTTGTCCTATAACGGTGTACAGCGTCTGTCTCAGGCGGATGATCTGACGGAGAAGGTCTCGAGTTACGTGGTGGTGGTTTATGTAGACTGGCCAGAGCTGAGTCCCAGAAGATACTAGTAAACTTCGGCGAGAACTCGGCGTAGTCAATGTCGAGTTGGAAGGGAAAGATCTCACTAACGTGTTTATCGTGATCGTGGGCAGGAGTGCTCTCGGCACCGAAGGCATTGTGGGATTCGGAAGGATAGTCGGTTTGCATTCTAGGAGATGCACTGATTTCCGTGGTTGGAAGGCCCTTGTCCAACAGCTGGCCAATTTCAACGTTTGGTGTGAGTTCATTAAGCGGTCTATATGTCTCTTGGCCAGTGTCGTCAGCTTCAATGGTTCTGTCGGCGTTAGCAGCGTGGCTTCTTTCGGTTACAGGCTGGTCGTTTCCCATCCCAGGCCCTGACATTTGCTCCGAAAAAGGCGATCTGTCTTCAGAGAGAAAATCATATTGGCATCGCAGGCCTCTTTCTGCACATCGATCGCAGACGGAGCCTCTACTACAGCTGACACGGAGCCTATGGAAGAAGGGTTGAGTGAGCTGAAGTCGCTTCTGTGATGAGGGTTGCCGTGGTCAAGACACTCACACTGCACATCTGATACAGCTCCTTCTCCTCGTCTTCTTCGGCTTCTTCAAGTGGGTGTTGGCCTCGTGTTTCATCCTGATGTGCCGTTGGAGGACATCTTTGCGTGAATATGATCTGTGGCATATGTTGCACTTCACTGAAGCAGTCGTCGGACCTGTCGTTCTAGTCATTCTGGTTCCTCCCGGTGGAAACATGGTGAGGACGTCGATCGAAGACATGGTTAGGCTTGAGGGTACGGGTCGTAGGGAGATGGGCGCATCGTGCCTTGCCTTCTGTCGACACGATATGATGTTCTGAACCTTGTACGCTGTAACAATCACGAACTTTGACACACCATGGAATGGAGTCGAGAGCAGTTCGGCTTCCGGAACAATATGTAGAAGAAGTGCGGGGGTCGGTGTTTCCAAGAAAGCAACTCGGGCACGCACGTCGCGGCGCGTTTCCCCCAAAGAATTTGACCGCCGTGGGGTCCTGATCTGATGATAGATCTCTACACCCTGGCTCATCGATATATTAATCTCGACAATGTCACCTTCAGGCTATACGCAGCCGATTCTCAGCGGCGTTCCGCCCTCCGCGGGCCTCGAGCAGGAAAATCAGCACCTCAAACAGCTCATCAGCGCCCTTGGTGAAACGCTCCAGCAGGCGAACCAGATCCTTGCCCAAGCTGGCCCTTTTCCTTTTCAGTCCCACCAGTGTACTTCTGTACAAGATTCTCGTCCACAGCATGGCTCGGTCACATTGAGCCATCATGGAATAGAGGAGACACCAGACTGGCGGCGATTTCCTGTTCAGAACACGGGCACAGAGTGGAGCGCTCTACAGTTCTCATCGGCCTTTCCATCCATTCAACCACCTCTGGACGATTCCGGGAGGTCTGGAAACGGCCTATCGCAAGCACCTGATGGCATGGAGGACTGGCTCGCCATAATATCCACGCCTAAGCCCGATGATCGTCTGGCGGAAAGCTACATGAAAGAGTTCACGCCGCAGGAGCAAACATATGCGTCAAGGCACCTGTCGGTACCGAAACCGTCCCTGTTCTGTCAAGATATTCTACATTTCGAAGGTATGATCAAATATATCATGCTAACAGAGCCAGAGCCTGATGTCCCTGACCGGTAGGTTGAATGCTCCTCTTGCTTTGGCATATAGACAATCTGACCACCTCACCAGCTTGGATATGCTGATTGAGAAGATGCTTCATACGCTTGTCTCAGAGGACTATTGGCATTGGACCAAGGCGTACTTCACCGAGTCCCTAGCTTGGAAGCATGTTGGTCCGATAACGAGATTTCGGATAGAACCAACCAAGGAAAATTATGACCGCCTGCCTGCGCGATTTCGACCCTCGCAGATCCAGCTCACCCGATTTCACTGGCCCATAATAGACTGGATCCTTTGGCCACAGCTTCGAGATAAGCTAATTTTGCAGTCGGCAGAGTACGATTTGACCGACTTCATTTCCACCATCATAGCGGGTTACTGCTTGGAAGCCGAGATCACCGAGGAAACGGAAGAAGATAGTCATGGACATGGAATGACCAGGACGGCTGTAAGGGGTCAAGGCAGATTAACGCACATGTCACAATCCAGAACTCGCAAAAAGTCAGTCTACTATCGATTACAAGAGTATCTGGAATACACCCAACAACTTCCAGCAGAAACCACCTTGACAGAGAAGAGAACGCAAGGAGCTTTGGTATCGGATGTGCTGGAAGCCAAATTCTTGTCCGCACTGCAGGCTGACCAATCCCCTTTTAAGCTCGAACCTACTGTTTTCGAACGGTTTCCTTCGCTTTACGTCGAGGACGCGGTCGCACATGGGGTTTACAGATCCATTTTCAGCCCTCACGTCGAGTCGACACGGTCTCGCGAAAGTAGGTGAACAGTCACACCTGCCACCACATTGATAAGCATTTGATTCAGGATAAAAGGAATCTGGTGTTCAAGCAAGACGCCAAAACTTTCTATCCCGGAACTCGACGCTCAGCCTTGTCATGTCGGTGCAAGTGGGGACGAATCTGGGTGTCAAGAAGGGCCCTCGACGGGCGAGTTATGTCACCTTACAGAACAATCACAACGGCACAAGAGAGAGGGACATGCCAAAAGAACTTCCATATCTCGTAGACCGTAGTCGGTAAATCCACGATCAAACTAACAATGACCATTTCACAATTTGCTCAACTTCATCCCGTCGAGCGCTTTCCCCTTGGCGACGCTATCCTCCATCATCTCCTCGAGATTGACCCGGCCCGCAAACCTGGCCTCGACGATGTAGTCGGAGGCATAATTGCCATAGGGCAGGACGGGTCTGTAGATGACATCTTCACCGCTGCACTCGGCCGCCTGGCCGGTGATGGAGGGGTCCGAGATGAAGCCCTGCACGGCGCGCGTGATGGTGGTGTATGGCGTGAGGAGCTCCTTGGGCACGACCTCGACGACCTTCTGACTGACCAGGGGAGTTGGCACCAGACCCGGACAGATGCAGTTGACTGAGATGGGTTCGTTCATCTCCTTGAGACGTTTTGCCAGAGATCTCGTCAGGCCGATGACCTAGAGAGAGAAAAAAAAGACGATAATCTCTCAGCCTGCGTTTTTTTCACAAATCTCACCGTCAAGGTATTCAGCAATCGTCGGAAGGGTTTGGTCCAACTTACGCCATGCTTCGCGGCGCCGTACAGCGGCACCGGAGCCGCGGGATACAGACCCGCGAGACTGGACGTCGACACCAACACGCCCGACTTTGAGGGGTTTTTGCGGAAGAAGTGCAGAGCCAGGTACGCGGTCCAGACGACGCCGTCGAGGCACACTTCGAGGACCAGCTTGTCGGGCTGTGCTGGGAATCCGCTCGCCGTCTCGTCTGCCGGAGCACAAAAGTCGATCCGGTCACCGAAACCCTACAACACAATATCAGTTTTTTAGGTTTTTTTTTTCTTTGACGGATCGAAGTTGATCCGTTCATTGACTTGGGTTCAACATGTACTGACAGCATTTGCATGAACTTGGAAGAAGGTTTCTTTAGCCAATGACTTCTTTCTCGTCTACAATACCGAGCCAGGAATACCAGAGGAGGGATCAATGCCAACATACCGAAATCCAAACGACCCCATTTCTGCCAGGACTTTACGAACGCCTGTCCGACACTCTCGTAGCTGATGACGTTGGCCCGGACGAAGAGCACTTGACCGCCCAGCCGCTGTTGGACCGCTTTTCCGGCCTCTTCGTTGAAGTCGACGACGGTCACGTTCCAGCCTTCTCGGACGAGGTGCTCGACGACGGCGAGGCCCATGCCGGACGCTACTTTCCTGTCAGTCAGAGGACGGGGAAGGGGCTTGTTCACACAGCAGCCGCTGGGGTTCGAAGGGTGTCCACAGTACCTCCTCCAGTAACGAGGCCTACGCGAGAGGCAGATGTCGTTGAAGCCATGATCGAGCAAATAGCTACTCTTTTTCTCTATACTAACAAGTCTCGGGAAGTTGAAAGTATATCTCGACCTCTAATCAAGGATGGGCTTTTGGATTTGGATCAAAGATAAACAAGAAAAAATACTACATGTCCATCGCCTACATGGACCGGCAACTGGTCTTTTTCCTTATTCTAACAACAATGACTAACAGATTCTGCTGTCAACTACCAAAAGACACAAGAATAAACAACCGGGTTTGACCACCCGCCACGCCCCGTCTACCGAGGGATGAAATACATACCATATGGCCCACACATTCTTTTGCCGCGATTTCTGGTGGGAAACGAGTCAGAACCCAGCTGGATTTATGACAAGACGGAGTTTACGTGTGTGGGTGTGGTGTCAGCGGAGTCCACCTTAGGGAGGGGTCGACCCTCTTACCCCGGAATCAACCATTCCCAGACGAGAAAACCCGTTGTGGAGACGGAGAATGGCGAGTCATGTCGGTACAGCACGTGTCTCTTTCGAGGTTCGCGTTTGATTACGAGGTAGTTTTGTCAAGGTCGTGTGTTTGTAGTCTTGCGACAATGGCAAAAGTAAGACTAGAACTTATCTGGCACCTCATTGGAATTGTGTAGCTTAGGTCTCATATACCCCATGTCACCCTTCCTAGCAAGCAGGGGCTTTACGACAGCAGTCATTCAGAACCGAACCAGGTTATTCAAACTAGCTTAATACTCATTGCAGCAGTTATCCAGCTCCCCGCACGGCAATCAATCCCTCCTCTTCCGCACAGTCAGAGGCAGAGCGCCCTTGACAATGGTCATGTAGCTGCGGATATCGTCCGCGAACCGCTTGTGGTCGAAATCCGGGGCCATGATCAGGTCGAATCGCCTCAGGAGCGTCGTGATCAACAGTCGCTGTTCGAGCATGGCCAGCGGTTTCCCGGCGCAGGAAAAGGTTCCACTACTAAAGGGTATGTATGCTCGTGTGTCGTGGTTCCATGTCGGGTCACGCTTCTTCTCGTCCCATCGGTCTGGGATGAATTCGGTGGGTCTGGTCCAGTACCTGGGGTCGTGGTGTAAGGAGAGCGTGTTGGACGAGACCTAGCACATGGAGGCAAAAAGGTTAGATCCAATAACAAAAAGAATTTAAAAACGTGGCTGCTTACTGCCGTGTTCTCTGGAATGAATATCCCATTGACCATGTGACCCCCCTTGTTCGTGTATCGCTGCATTCCATTCGGGCCCGGCGGCATGACTCTAAGAACTTCCTGGATGCACATGTTCAAGAATGGAAGTGTCTCAGGACCTGATATTACCAGATTAGTATGTGTCCTGGCAGAAGTTGGAGTGGCGGGCGCTCACCTAGCGAGGAGCCTTCCAGTGGTTTGACACCGTCCCAGTGCTGATCGATTTCTTCACGCAGACGATGATAAGTCGCTTTGTCCGAGCAGATGTAGTAAAACATAAAGCTATATAGCCCGATCAGGAAGGGAAATTCTCGGAAAGCGCAAGGTTAGAACACGGCAGATTTTCAACTCACGTAATAACCACAGCACTCGTGTCACTTCCTGCAATAAACAGTGTTGGAGAGTCGGCCTCCAGGTCCTCTTCGGACGAGATACTGGTAGAATCGTCAGTCTGGACAGCAAATGGAAGAGCAGACGCATAACCGACATTTCCTTGTCGTTGCCAGCAATGATGTGTGAGAAAATGTCGACCGGGGAAGTGCCAAACTCTCTTCTTTGCTTGTAAAAGTCCGAAGCCAGCCGCCCGAAGCTGAGAGCTTTGTGGATTAGGTCCCGTCTGAACGGGGTCAATGTGAAGTAGGTTGATATCCATGGGACCTGAGCAAAGATGGCATTCACCATGACGCCAGTACGAACCCAGTCTGAGAACTCGCGAGGTCCGTCTGAATACCTTTGTCAGTATTGCTAGGGAAAAACGACACAAGGCTGACAGTAAACCATACCTTCGTTGAGCAAGCCAACAGTCTTGTTGAAAACCAAGTCTCCCATGGCGTCGAAAGCAAAGTAGTCTGCCCATTTTGCAAAATCCACGACTTCGCCTACATCGAGACGTCAGCGTTTAAACGTAGACATGTACCCACAGCTGAGCTACAAACCATCATGTTTCTCCAACTCCGTACAGAAAGTATCAATCAGACTCCGAATACGAGGCTCGTATGTCCTTAGAGCCTTTTGAGCGAAACCGTGGTCCCATATTCGGCGGCGGATTCTATGGTTCTCCCAGTCTCTCGTAGACGGCAACGGCACGCCATGTCCGCTGTTGTTAAAGGTATTGGCATCGTAGAAGGGACCTTTGGTGAGTCGAGCTCCCTGTGGGCCGTGGAGATACTTGACTGAGCCTGTGTCGCCGAAAGAGAGCTCGTTCGGGCCGAATCGGACAATGTCACCGTACTATAGAGTAGTAGAGATCAATGTCGTGCTCTCTTGAGAACAGACTGGGGACCTCGTTATATAGTAACGTACCTTGGCGTGCATGGCAGGGAGCCACTCATGCATGCGGCCAGTGGCCATATAATATGCCGAAGTCCATCTCGTCAGTTTCCCAAGCGTTGGTCCAGGAAATCTCCGTAGAGGGTGAAGAAAGAGTCGGTAGACCGTGATACTGAGGCTGAGCGCTGCCAAGTAGAGACCTGTAAACAAGACCGTTGACGACCTCACGGTTAGTGGGCCTTGGGGCATGCGCGTAGTCAGAATGGCATATAAGGCGACGAGGACCACGAGATTACGGAAGAACGAGGCGACAGTAGGTTCTCTGCGGTTGTACACGGCGTGGGATACCTGGACGATTTGCGCTGTCAATAACGTACAACACCAGCCTCGACTCTTGCCCGACTCACCAAAGCTGTGACGATGGCCAGCCCTGCAGGTGCTTCATAGTCCGTGAAAGAGCGCATCTCGACTGGCACGGCTTCAGCGTTGAGGTTTTAACAAAATGCGGCGTTCTTGTTCAGGTCTGAATAGCATGGGCAGCCGTAGAACCGTAGGTAGAAGTCGACAGTATATGACTACCTCGTACCCTCACCTCCCCCTCTCCCTTAAAGAGGGAAATGCCGGACACATTTCTGAACACGGCCAAGTCAATCTTCTCTTTGCCATTGTAGAAAGCCGTGTTTCGTGGCGGGGTGCCGATCCAGGGTGCTGGTGTAGCAGACAATAATGCACCGTCCGCTAAAAAACTCCGGTTTACCACAATTACCCAAACTGGATGAGCGGACAAGTGGAACTGTACCTTGTATGGTTTCCCGAGGTCAAGCTGCGGTTACAGACCAAGCCGATTATGACAAGATATTCATAACTGGCCAATCGAAATTGGCAACACGCAACAAACACATGGAAATCTTAGTCCTTGGATCAGGAACAAGGAAATACACAGTTATCAAGCCTTTGATGGACCAGGTGGCTTCGTATACCTGTATGTATGTAGGTAGGTAGGTACATATATATATATATATATATACGTATATATCCCGAGCCTTACCTGTGACTGTCACGCATTCTAAGTCATGGGGACCCTTTCGAAGGAAGAAGATTGTCCTCGGTGTTCTCTTGGAAATATGCGGCGTTGGCTCGTCTCTGGTTGTGTTTTCAGTGTCCTCTCCTCACACCAGCGGCGACTTGGCTGTTCATCTGGGATTTTGTCGATTGCAGCAAGAACGCTAGGGCCAGGCTGAGCGCCGTGAATGGGATCAACGAGTACCAGATGAAGCGGAAGCTGTCCGCATATGCTTGCGCACTCGCCACTTCAAAGACACCCAACAGCGCCGGCGTCACCCCTGGCAATTTCAAGAGCTGCGACGTGGCCCCACTGGCGGCGAGTTCGATGAATTCCTCCAGTTCGGAGCCCGGCAGGCCGGCTTCCAGAAGTGCTTTCGAAACTTGCGCGGGCCATTTGATCGAAACCTCGTGGTGGAAGATCTGGCTGAAAATGACGATCCCGATGCTGCCCCCCAACGCACGGATCGACGCTACCAGGCTCATGGCGGTCGCAATGAGCATGTTGGGCGTGCACACGCCGACGATCACATACAAACAAGTCATCTGAGCGCCGATGGCGGTACCCATGAGCAGGGTCGGGAAGAACCACGCCGCAACGTTGATGTGTGGCTCCATCACAGCCATGAGGCCGACGCCGACAAGGAGGAACACAAAGGACGTAATCACAATCCCCTTGGCCTCCTTGAAGATGCTCATGAGAACCCCACCGATGACGCCTCCGAGGACGGAGCCAAAATTGAAGGGGATACTGTAGACGCCAGTCAGAACAGCGTCCTGGGTGAAAAGAATAGCAATCTCTTGTGGGAGGTAGGCTTGGCCACCAAACAGAACAATCCCCCCAACAACATTCAGTATGACTGCGATCATAAAGTTTCGATGTTCGAAAAGTCGATGATGGAATAGTCCGACCTTGGTCCCCTTCCACTCCCAGATCCCAAAGACAACAAGAACGATCCCACCAATGATCAAGGTGCAGAGGACAATGGCGGAAGCCCAGCTGTAAGGGTTTCCACCAAACTCTAAACCGACCAGGAAGAGAACCAAGCCTGAAGCGACCATGAAGACTCCGGTCCAATCGAGGTGAAGGACCTTGGACAGCATACTGGTGTCTTCTTCAACCGGCCGTGGGGCGGGGTGGTAGAAGAAAAAGACGAGCACGAAAGTCAGGGCGTAAAACCCAGCGGCGACGTAGAATCCGGCTCGCCAGCCCTCCTGAACACCACCGACATCATTCTTGATGAATAGACCTTGTATAATAGGTCCAATGAGGATTGCTAGGCCTGCGACGCCACCAGCCACGGCCTGTAGGATCGGTCGTTTGTCCTTGGGGACTATCTCGGCGACCATGGGGATGGCCAGGTAGCCCAGAGTCAGACCACAACCGTTCAGCACTTGGCCTCCGATGATCATCTCGACGCCGTCTCCTCGACTTGAGACGATGGTGCCCACCAGACCAAGCACCATGCCCCCCAGCAAAAAGATCTTGCGGCCCAG